CTGCCTGCCCAGGACACTGGCATTCCCCTGCCTTGGACTTGAGCTGAACAGTCCTTATTGCTGTCCCCAAGCTGCCAGCCTGCAGACTGGAACTGCACCGTGGCTCTGGACTCGGCCTGCAGGAACACGCCAGGCTCAGCTCGCTGAGGGCGGCTCTTGGCATCTGTCAGCCTCCGTAACTGGGTGGGCAAGTTCTTGCTAATTACCGAGCTACACAGTCATCACAGATCTATGATGCATGTGCGTTACCTACACATGATATGGATAAAAATGCAGCTTGTGCAAATACAGTAAAGTCTGCTCAAACACTATCTTCTGTAAGTCCTTGAGTCCCTTTTATAGTAATAGCTAATTTAATTGCCAGATTCACCAGGTTTGGTACATAAAGCCCCATGAGAACTTATGTCCCCAGTATAACTCTGCATAAATAGTAAATGAAAAATTTTCAACATGCCATATGTGAGTCTTGGGGCGACTGGAAAGAGCGACCCCTTTTGTTTACTGTCGTGCTCACAGAGGTAATGCTGATCCACAGCACCGTATCCATTTTACCAGAGGCAATGGAACACTGCTCCATTATTTTAAAGGAGAGAGAGTCTTGCCATTTGTGACTGCATGGGTGGAGCTGGAGGGGGGTTATGCGACTTGACATAAGTCAGAAGGAGAAAGATAAAATGCACTGGATGATTTCACTCATCTGTGGAACATAAAAAACAAAGCAAATAAAGAGACAAAAAACAAAGCCTTGTGGGCCCTCCCTGGTGGCGCAGTGGGTTAAAGCACTGTACTAAGAATCAAAAGCTACTTCCGCATGAGTTCGATCCCCGCCTGCCCCGGAGGTGACCACATGGCGCAGCAGACCTCTCCTGACCCGCCCGCTGCTCCCCTCAGCAGTGGACTTCGTCGATCTGCCTGTTCTGCTCCCCGCTGTGTCTCTGGGGAACCCTCTCACCCTCCGCATCTCTGGCCTGTACCACAGTTCTATATGAATAAATAAATCTTTAAAAAAAAAACAAAGCCTTGAAATCTGACAGCAGAACTGAAGTCACCAGAAAGGACGGGGGAGGACGGAGGAGACCAGAGACCAGAGGCGATCTGTCTTTTGAGTGGGCTCTAAGTTCTCTGTCGAACAGCTCACAAGAACTCTTTGCAAAGACAAATTTCAAAGCCATTGTAAGTAGTATGTCAAAGATTAATATTTTATATGGCATACTTGTAGGCATAAGGAAGATAATAAAAGCATACACAGACACCTTGTTTATGAAGTGGGAAAATCATAAAACTCTTTCCAATTTGTTTCTAATATATACAGTGTGTGGCATACATCTGTTTTATGAAAATTTCTCTTAGCAGCACTAATGCTGTGATGGATGTTCGCTGAACTGTTTACCTATAGGTTTCTATTTTTACTAAATTTATTTAGAGAATTTTTAAGGACTTTGTAAACTTGCTAAATTCAAATTCCAATAGTCTTAAGATAAGTAAAGCCTATGTACATAATAGGCCAAGACTTTACTTGTAAGCTCCACAGAGTCCTTTTTGGGTTAAAATGTACAAATATTCCATACACAGACATCTAGAGATACACTGCTTTGCTAAAATGTGTATCCAAGTATCTTTGCCCAAAACTCTTAATCTATTGCTAATATACATATCAAAACTCACAGTGGAAGGGAGGTATGCTGAAGGTGACCTCTGAGACGCTGAGGTTAGGGCGCAGAGTACTGACAGAGTGGGGGTGGCGCTGAGGCCGCTACCCCACATGTGGCCGTGGCTCACTGCTCTCTGTTCTCGGAGCCACACGCGAGTGACCTGAGTTAGACCTCCAGAAGCGGAAGCAGTGGGGTGGGCATTCGTGTCATCACTATCTCACACGAGAGCAAACCCAGACACAGAGAAGCCACCTGCCCCCAGCGTGTATATGTTTTAAGAGCTGCTCTGTCCTGTTTCTTAATATGAAGAACTAAGCGCTTCATAAAGGCTTGAGAGCTGTGGAATGACAGCGAGGATCACCGAGGCATTGAGAGATGCCGCTTCTACTCCACCGCGGGCAATGCTTCGAGACCCGGCCAGGGGAGGTCAGCGCGCCCCGGGGAGGCTGGCACCGCTGGCAGGGCCCCAGGGCCAGAGGGGCAGGTTGTGCCCTGCAGGTCTGCGTCACCTCTCTGTGACACTCACAGCAACGAAGGCAGCCCTAGGGGTGTCTCTCAGGCCTATCCGCTGTGGTTTCATGGCTGATGGCTGTCCTGTTAACTGACAGACATCCAGACCTAGAACTGTGCATGTGCACTGACCGAGGCCGTGGAGAAGCCGGTCGCGCAGCACAGGCAAGCGCCGAGGAAGGGGGAGCCGCACGGTGTGACCCTGCTGTGGCCCCGCAACTCCCGGCCCCCCGCTCCCCCGGACAAGCTGCCCACGCGCACCACGCGCACCCGGACCCCGCAGGCTGGCCCTCGCCTGGCCATCCTGGACAGGCCCTGACCGCCCGTCTAGCCCTTACCACTCTTGCCATCCAGGGCCGTTCTCGCCCTCGTTCCTCCTCCATCTTTCCCCAGCACAAGGGCTTCTTCGTCATAATCCCCTTTCTGGAACCTCCCTGGTGGCGCAACGGGGTAACACACAGCACTGCAAAGCTGGCTGCAGCAGCCTCAAACCAAGTCAATCCCTGCCCCGGAGGTGACCCACAGGCCGCGGCAGACCGCTCCTGTCTCCCCGCTGCTCCCCTCAGCAGTGGACTTTGTCGATCTGCCTGTTTTGCCCCTGCTCTGTCTCTGCTGAATCCTCCCACCCCCCGCTCCTCTGGCCTGTACCCCAGTTCTGTGTGCATAAATAACTAAATCTTTTTTAAAAAAAAAAAAACACCATCTGGACAGACGGAGCCTCCTTCCCCGGCTTCCCGCAGCCCGGGCCCCTGTCCTGCCCCTCAGCAGTCACATCCGTCCTGGAATGCAGCACCCGCTGCGGTGACCTCAGACAGAAGCGACTTCCAACACTCACCCCAGCCCCTGCTGGACCGTCCAGTCAGCGCATGCTGGCCTTGCCTCTTCCTGGAAGAAGTTCCTCATCCTCCCCACGGTCCACCGGCTGTCAGACTTCACCCCCGGCTCCTGCTACGCTCCAGCTCTCTATGCATGAAGCCTCAAACCATGCCAGCACAGGCTCTGGAAGACGGAGCTCACGCTCCCTCCAGCCCACGTCCATCTCACTGGCTCCTGGAAGGCAGCAGCCACGCTCTTGCCCAGACACCGGCCCTCCAGCTCTGGAGCCCTGCCTACCTCATCCGCTGAAACCTTCCCTGGTGAGCGCCGGGGACATGCTTTCTCCACCTCCCAGATATCAGTGTATGAAGCTGCCAGCGGGCAGGTGTGAGATTTATTTAAAGCTCCGACAGAGAAGCCCCTGGAATCTCCCATCGTTCTCCTCTATGCCAAGTGTTTCAGGCTAACACCCCGACAGCAGATTGGCCACCGGCAGCCTCACAGCGCTGGGTTTGAGCCTGTTTTCTTCACAATCCCGAGAGGCCCAGGACGGGGGGAGGGGGGGGGTGTCTAAACAAGGCTCAGAGTCAGCGCCAAGCTCCGCACCCCCATCCCGCCTGCTCTTCCAGGGAATGGTGGCATCGGTCCATCAGTCCTCCGGCCCCTTTGGGCTGTCTGCTGGAGGGCGGGGGGAGGGCCAGCCTCAGATCCAGAAACATCAACACTTCTGGAAACGCGGAATATTTGGTTCAAGGAGCTGTTTTCAAATCATCTGTTTGTGAGGGAGACGTTCTTGGATGTCGAGTTGGCTGGGGCAGTAAAAAAGCCCTCCGAGCCGACTGATAAAAAAAACCCAAACGCTTCGGCCCAGACACATCCCCTGCACACACCCGCCCCGAAGCCCAGCCCAGGCCACGCCCAGCCGGGGGCGCCAGAGCTGCGCCCTCACCGCCCGCGGGGCTGGGGAGCCCCGATGGGGCAGCTGGCAAATCCTGAAACTCCCCAAAGCGTCAAACAGTGTCGCCGAGGACAGGCAGGCCGGCCCGTGCGGGACCCTGAGCCCGCGGCCAGCATAGCCCTGCACGTCTGTGAACGGCCGGCGGAGAGGGGCGCCTGTCCGCAGGCCCTGGGGCATCACCCAGCCGCCGCGCGCGTCTAGGGCGCTGGCTGACCTCCCAGAGGCACCTCCCGCAGGTCGCCAGGCGCCCGACGGCCCCGCAGTCAGGGGGTGTCCTCGTGGGCTGCACAGCCCCTCAGCCCCGACCTGCCCTCCCCTTGGTCCTACAGAGTGAACCCCTGGGGAGAAGAGCCCGGCCCTTGGCAGGTGTTCAGACAAGTGTGGGGCCCCCCAGGGGGCTTGGGGCCCCGACGCACGTACGTCCCCCCGGGTGTCCAGGGCCTGGATAGGCGCGTTTGCTGAAGCCTGGAGAGAGGAAGGCGAAGGGACCTTTCCGCTGCCCAGACGCCCTGCGGGAGCCGGCGCTGCGCTTCTGGAGGGCGGGAGCGCCCCTGCTTCCCAGGGCCGGCCCTGAGCCCCCGCCCCCAGCCGCTGCCCCACCAGCCGCAGCTCCCCCCAGCCTCCAGGGGTCACAGTTGGGTTGCAAATACCTCCTGGCGGAGCTGCCTGATTCGGAACAATTTATTCGAATCCTCCTTCATTAAGATTCAAATGGAATAAGTAAGGTAGAAATTGAACAGGCACAGAAATTGTGGCTCGCTGCCCCTGCAGTCAGTAAACATTTATTCACTAAGTCTGCTGGTGAGCGCCAGCTCCTCTCGTCGCCTTCCTCTGCTCTGCTTCCCCTTCTCTCGCCGCGCACCGCCCCCCTTTTCTGCCACCCTTCCCGCTTGCTGTTTCAAGGCATAATTAAGAAGGTCAGCATTAATGAAGTGGTGTGGAGGAAAGTTCAAGGCCTCCCCAGGCACTCTTAATGCTCCTAGGCTCAGGCGTGAATGTCAACTTGGCGGCGGCAGCAGGGGCGGCGCCTCCGGGCACGACGCACCCCGAGACCCGAGACTCACCTGCACGGTCAAGTCATCCCTGAGCTCCCTGCCGGCGAAGATCACCCGCAGCCGGTCGGCTGGAACCCCCCGTCGCTTAGCAACCGCCTCCTTGAGCCGGAAGATGCTGGCGTCGCGGTCGACCTCCACCGGGAAGCCGTGGCTGGAGTTGAACCTGACGAACACTGACCAGACAAAGGGAGGGACGAGAGCGTCAGACCTCGCGGGCGCTTGCAGGCCGCACACCGCGGAGCACCGGGCCCTGGGAGAGGCACTC